AGGTCACAAACTAAGCAGCTTCCCTACTTGATGTGTTGCATCATCTCAGAAGACGTCCACATCTATCAACTCTTTACGAGGAAGCAATGACAGAATAGGAACCACAGATATCGACTCCATTCACAGGTTCACCTACCGCAGGCACGCCTAGACTGGACTTTGAAAACTCTGTGACAATCGATTACAACCGATGCTTTGTTAAGACTAGGTAAAAAGAGCCACGGTCGATCACTGCACCTGGAAGAAATAGTTTGATCGAACGGTTTTCCTACGGCAGCGATACACAACCTAACAGACTGGAGAGGAACTACCTACTGCAGAAGTACAAGGTCGAACTTTATTGCTCCCAACCTTGTGGAACACATGCATATCAACGTTTAAGTGAATGTGGAAAATTCGCACACACCAAATCGATGCTGAAATTTGAAGTGAAAGCGACAGAAAGCAGAGCTAATCCTGACTAATTCTGTCTCCCTGGTAAACAAATGTGAATGCTATTGTGCCGATCCCAAGGTAAGTGAAATTTTCGGTTGGCAGTTACCATGGCAACCTGCGAAAACGGCGACATGACAACAGAGGAACCGTTGAATGTTCATGTGCGGATCATCCATATCGTACCGAAGACGAATTTGCCCCAGAATCCCGTTATGGAAACGCCCTCCCTGTGGAGAAGTCCGTGTTAAATAGGGAATATATATATATATATATAAATATATATATATCAAGCTGCGCTGTGTAGAAGTATAAACGTCCCTAATAAGTGATGGTATTACGTTTGCGCCTACGGATACATGGTGAACTTTTAATTTGACAGGGTATGGCGCCAACTCCACTCATTCACGCAGTTGACTAGGTCCTCAAGTGATGACTTCTCGAAAGAAGACCATTGATGGTTGCAGAGTTGTCCAATTTCGTTGAGGTTTGTCACATTCTGAGGATAGTACGACGAAAGTCTCCTCGGGTCTACGTATATGGGCTGACAAACACAGTAAAACTAGTCCATTCTCGTCGAAGGTCATCAACAGCGCGGTTCTCGCAAATTCATAGGAGGACTGAACGCTGGCCGTTTTGACCACACATGTTTGATAAGCGTTGTATTTAACTGATACCTGGCCAACCTTCAGTCATGCAGTGCAAATTATGTGGATCCGTTAATGAGTTTTACGTGACAGGACGTGTGAGATGGAGGACTAAACGCCTTGTAGAACTGCCATATTTCTGAGGAGAGTATGTGCTAATTTTAGACAATGAGGAGATGGTTATTAAGGAGAGTGGAACAGCTACGCGGTGTGTCTCAGTGTAGACTGATATTACGGGATTGAAACTAACTTGGAGCTACGTAGTTCAAAAGTGCACCGTTATTCACTCAATCAGGTGGGCTACGAGCCCGCGTTTTCCTATGGTTTCAGCAGTTCGTTCTTATTGTTCTATACATGCTACCGTGTATCACTACAGGACGAGAGTTAGCAGCGCTCGGCATGGTCAGACGATCTTATGTCGTGGAAACTGTGGCCAACCGGAGAGTTTGGTGCGTATTTTGCAATCCTGCTGGATCACGCATGATGCCACATGTGCTCGTCATAATCGGGTTGCAAGGGAACTTGCAAAACGTCTCCGTCGACTAGGGTACACCGTCTTCGAGGAGTTGAGAGCCCCTACTTCTACGTCGTTCATCAAACCTGACCTAATCGCTGTTCGAGATCGCCGTGCAACTGTAATAGACGTTAGCATAGTCTCGGATGGGCGTGGAGAGATAGTGTGGAATGAGAAGAAGCAGAAGTATGGTGCTGATGAACATTCCCTCGCCATAATCTCAGCCCTACATGCCATCGGTTGTGATATCGACTTTTTGGTTCACCAACCGATGATCATCTCTTATCGAGGGATCTGCTTTCCTCAATCCGCTAAGGCTGTTATTGGACTGGGACTTCCTAAGGTCGCAGTCAGTGACTTGTGTTTGCTTGCCATTGTGGGCTCCCTGCGTACTTATGACACTTTTATGCGTGGCACATGGCGTTGAAGGTACATTTTTGCCATTTAATCTCACACCAGACCCAGTATGACGGTCACTTTGTGCCTGATGTGCGAGTCTTGACTGTGCTAGCGCACACTGCGCCTTGAAGAGCATTCACCATTGTTTGTCCTTTCTTTGGTTGTTGGTCTTTAGACGCGTGTTCCCATACCAAAATCTTTACATACTTTGGGATTCACCTCATCAGACTGGCACTGTCCTTGGCATGATTTCGAATGAGACGTTTCTCTCTTTTCTCCCATATTCTCCTGTTACTCTTTCGCATTCATCGCTTGCATTCACTTTTTATGTCTGTGACCATGCTCTTCAAAAATAAATGATAATAGTAAAGTATAGTATAGTATGGTATGGTATAGTAGAGTATGGTATAGTATAGTACGGCATGGTGTAGAATAGCACAGTATAGTAGAGTAGGGCATAGTATAGTGTGGTGTAGTGCAGTATAATGTAGTGTACAACATAGTGTAGCAACTTGAGTGTCGTCGTGCGGACTAACATTCATCCAAACGGAGGTGCTGTCGCCCTCAAAGTCCTGAGTGAGTTGCACAACTAATCATAATGTAACTAAAATATGATTGTTCCCAACCGGTATTGGACTGTGTGCTCTATCAGCTACGATCGAACTAGAGTTCACTTATGCCGAAAGAACATTGACGCTTTGGATGTTGAGCCACTGGTTTAACATAGGTTTAAGTAGGGTTTTGTTTACAACGAGGGATGTTTGACTCCATGACACTTGTCATTTTAGATAGAGTAATTGTGCTTTTATTTCAGTTCCAAGGCACCACTTGTGTGCGGTACCTGGGCACCATATTTCTGCCATGTCACCCTATTTCCGAGGCATCTTTGAGCAGACTACTACTGGGGATCTGAGAAATGCCTAAAGGTACTTCAAGACTAAAATCACTGCAAGGGGTCCGTTCCCTAATTTAAACAAAAGAATGATGGGGGTGTTTCGAATTTCCTACGGAGTTCCCTCACGGCGAGGATCTAGATAAAGTGAGACTGCTAAGGCACCACTGTCACCCAGCAAATGCAACGTGATTTAACTAAATAAAACTAAAATGCACGAATTCTTCATGTGGTATAACTTTCGAGTGACCTATTTTAACTAAAACCACCTTTGTTGGCCACATCAGCAAGGGTGATTAATTAGCATGCCATACCCTGATGATAATGTATTAGCAGATAGAAGCTAATGAAATACTTTACTACCGCTTTACGTTACTCCTCCTCCAAAACTTTCCGTGATTAACATAGAGATCATTTCTGGAAGACATCTTCAGAGAAGAAGTTCGGACTGTTCAAACCAAATGGACTCTATTTCAGCCATCATAAAATCTCTATTGAACTCGGCTCTGGTCTAAGTGTAATTCTCCTATTTTCATCTAGTACGAAGTTCACTGACATGCATATGTATGAATCCACCCTGAGAAAATTTACCATAGAGGACTAGTAGACATTTTGCCCGTCGCCAGTTTCATTTGGCTCCACGTGAATCAGGTCGGCTGCGTTCAGTTCGGGAATTTGACTACTTCTATTCACAAAGAAAGGACGTGGATTTGAGTACAAGTCTAATCAAGCCGGACGAAGAAGCTTATTTGCCATTTGCACGTTGTGGTGCCAAGATTATGCAGCTCAGCGTCCGTCACCTCTGCGTTTGGTGAGGCTGACGGAGTCTGAGGGCCGCATTGCACCCTACTACGGCATGAATTCTTTGAACATAGCTGCAGTTTTCGGGAATGAAGTTATTTCATGGTTGCACATACATATCGCAACATAAATTCTACTCCTTTGCTCCCATCACTCACGAAACGTAAAAAGCTGACATCAATATTTCCGAAGATGTTAATGAATATACTAACTTCATACAATTACTCCACATGTTTTGCACAAAGTCTGTAATCGAGAAGCATCTCCAAAGCGTTCATCAGCCTAGGTACTAGAAGAAAGCTGGTTTTTCATGGTTTACATCTACGATTTTGATTCCGGCTGGTACAAAACTGGTTGCACATCCATAAATGACGATTGCTGTGTTGTGAATTACCAAAAGTGAACAACCGCGAATTTCTATTTTACCAGCTGTCAACAGAAACCTGATACACAATTTTTTTTCAAAATGTGGTTTATCCGTCAAATAGACAGGGGGAAAATTGTCTATTCCAGGAATCGGCTTCCCAAGGGAGGGATCCTATCGGTAAAAGGATAGTCTTAATACGCATTGTGAGTAGTGTTCTGAAAAGGAACAAGCATTTGCTCTCCGAGTAGACCACTATGCAAAACGACCAGAAACCCCTCAAAGTATGTTGCGAAACAGCTGTCTCTCCCATCAGAAAACCTCTTTGTCACAAAAATTGATTGGCGTACTCAAAAGAGATGGTCTCACAATCTAGCTCGCTGAAGAGGCCGTTTTCGGTAAGTCACTTTTTAGTCTTAGCCTATCGTCAGGACGTGCTTCATTTGGGGAATCCTTTAGGGTTACATGAATTAGCAAAACGCTGTTCTTGGTGGAAGATAATGGTATTGCCTGAATGACCTAGTGTGTTCGTGCCTAATGTTTTTTGGATTATTGCGTATGATAGTTTTATGTGGTAACTGTTCTCAAAAGTCTCACGTCAAAAGTGGCTGCCTTCGGCTGGTTTCCTAGAGCCCAAGAAGACTTCACCTGAGCGGTCCTATCTCATGGTCCCACCGAAAAATAACGCCTAAAGCAGTGTCATGCAGATGGAACTCGAGCAATAAAGCCCCCACCATCTCGTGGACAAGCGGCTAGTCAAAAGCATAATGGAACCGAAAGACGGATGCGTTTTTTGACTTGTTCTTCCATGATAAAATAATTTATACCCGGAGGCCATGAAGAGTGGTTTTGTCAAGAAGTGGCTATTGGGTTCTGAAGTTCAAGATGTCCATGCAGAATTTTAAAAGGTCGCACCTCTTGTGGCACGCTTGTTTTTTTTACAAAACTTACTTCATCAGCGACTGCTCAACGATTTTGTCACCTGATGAGTCGGCCAATGCAGTGAAACAGAACGAACCCAGGAGAATCCACGTGAGTAGATTTCGCATTCTGGTGATCCGGATAGACGCTGTGTCTGAAGTCAGGAAAAAATGACACAGCAGTGTACGTTTGACCCGAAATCACCGAGGAGTACAAGCGAGTGTTGAAATGCTTAGAAATATCGTTGAATTCAGTGAACGGAGGGGATGCGTCCAATTTATTCGCAATGAAGGAACAAGTGTTTCATTAGAAGTATGTTCTGTGTTATGTAGACACGCAATAGAAGCTTTCCAGAGGCCGGAATATAAAGTACATGGATGTTTCAGGGGAAAACTCTTTATCAATCATTTTCAGAGTACAATACATCGAAAAAAACGACACCAAAATCTGATGATCCAGGTGCTCAGACAACTTTGGAAAACCAGATTATTCAAACAGAAGGGAAGGTGTAGTTTCAGAAAATATTGTTTGAACAGACTCCCGAATAATCTATTCCACCCTTGCGAACAGCATTGAGGATGTATTTTATAGAACCTTCGGAGGTGGGTACGATGTGGATGAGCTGGCGCAAGTATGCCAACATAATTCCACTGAGTACTGAATCAAGCCGACACACCACTGTGCTAGGAAGCTCCAGTACAGGGAATGTCAAACAGAATAATAATTGTACTGTCAACGCATAGGATGATCATAAAATTTCAAACGCACGGAGTAGGAAAGTTACCTAGAGCAGGGTAAAAGTAATTTTCAAGTTAGTTTGGTGAGACAATTGGTAACCTGTGGAATTTGACTGAATTCGGTTATTTGTACCGTCCTGGCTTGACGGTGCGTTCACTAACAACTGAAGTACAGCTTGCATTTTATACGCTACGAGATGCTATATCCAGGCTTCAGTCGGATTAGATGAATGAAATGCCAGAGTAACATTTATGTGGGTGAAACCAGATAAAACACGCACGCATTCCAACAATCCTGCTACTCAAAATTTTGCTACCATATCGTCCACATCCAGTCACATCATACCGACATTTCTTGACCTGAACTAATCAAATCCCCTGCAGATTGCGTAATTTTCAACCAGACTCAGTTTGGAAGACCCGTATTCTACTGAGGTCTAAAGTGCATGCCTGATTTTTTTCCGGTGGTAAATGACCTTGAAATCAAGAAGCCTGGAGACGGATTTCTTCCATTTAATCTTGTCCCACAAACTCCGGTTTGTGGACCAATATGTTAGTTTTTAGTTTCTGTTTTTTTCTCGACTTTTATGTCTTCCAAATTCGGTATTCGTAGCATAATTCTGACAGATTTCTTTGTGAATGTTCATCACTACAAGTAAAATAATCATCAAGCCAACTACTGTATGCCTCTGGACAGAAAATCTCCATAAAATCGTACCAGTTGTAAGTAGTTTGACAATGAAATACAAACATGCAAATTACCGTAGTCCAGTCAAACCAAAAATGAGATGTTTTCCCGAAGAACCAAGCGAATGGATCAGGAAAGTTAATGATACTTTCACTAACGAGACAGATTTTCCAAAGCGCGATTGCTGATGCAGTCCATCTGAACTGAATACAAACTCACAAGAACGTGTACTTATTGATAGAACCGTCAGCGAACCCTAAAAATTAACGGGAAACGTCGCTATCACACATATCAAGTTTAAAACACCCCTTTCTTACCCAAAGGGTCCGTACAACCAGTGGGTTTCAAACACTGAGTTCCAAGAACGATCACTGTGACCTTCGCTTCCCTATTTTAAAGGTGTTTAATCAGTCGTTCAGTTGTAACGCTTTTTCGGTTCTAGAGGACGGGGTACTGGAACTACGAGGGCTGAGATTCTGCCAGATTGCCAAAACATAGACGGAAGCAGTCTAGATGCTGGAGTTGTTTTCCAACCGCGGAAGTTCAGGTCACTAATTTCACGCGTTAACATCCGTCGTATGTCGGGATGAGTTCTCGGTCGACCACAAGCGTATTCAGAGTACTAACACTTAGAAAAAACGAAAATATATCGTTAAGCTAAAGGAAACTGTAATTTTAAATTTGACGGTCCCTCAAAAGAACGAAATTTTTGTTTTTGTCTACTTCCGTTCAAAAAGATGGGACAGGCAATAGCCAGTCACCTTTCCATAATCGATTGTTCGGAAATCAGTAGGAAGAAGGAAGGAAAGAAAAAGACTGAGAGGACTAAAAGGAATACTTAGATAGCAAACTGTCGGTAAAAGGAGTCTAGTGTGGCACTAGAAATTAGTAAATCTGTTTGCGCTTATCAGGAAATCGTGCAACACTTGGCAAAACGTAACTTGGATTCCCTGAACTTCCAGTTGGTGCAACCACATCAGTACATGCGGACAGAATTTACCATTGAAAACTGTCCAGGCCTTTTACAAATTTACAATAGCTGATCTAGCCACAATAGGCCGACACTTTTTGTCCAGTTAAAAGGCCCATGCTAATGTGGCTGCCGAATTTACACAACACCTTGTTAACCCCACCGAACAGCAAATCACATTTGTGGTCCATTTTCCATCTGCATGAGGAACACTTTGTGGTTCCTCAACTTGGATTCCAAAAATCTGGGCTCAGTTGGCGTTTTAGCACATTGTCTGAGTGGGCTGAGATTCGGATCCGTCATCCCGACTAATGAAGTTTTTCTTTCAATTTGAGATTGTTTTGGTTGTTTAAATTGTTATTTTTGTCGAAGAGGTATTTCGTACTCTTGGCTTACGAGCTGCATGACGCTGAAGAGCATCCCTAGTTTTCCACCCTCTCTGTAAAGCTGCTGTTCAATAACCTGATGGGCGGGCTCATCAAATGACATAACCAGAACGGAGGAGTTTTTGGGCAGACGCCTCACCGCACAACCCAACCGTCATCCCACTAATGAAGTTTTTCTTTCAATTTGAGATTGTTTTGGTTGTTTAAATTGTTATTTTTGTCGAAGAGGTATTTCGTACTCTTGGCTTACGAGCTGCATGACGCTGAAGAGCATCCCTAGTTTTCCACCCTCTCTGTAAAGCTGCTGTTCAATAACCTGATGGGCGGGCTCATCAAATGACATAACCAGAACGGAGGAGTTTTTGGGCAGACGCCTCACCGCACAACCCAAAGATGTTAAGAGTAAATTCCTATCTACTGTTCTGCGAACGATTATCCAGTGACAAAAACTTTCTGTCCCCGCGCCCACTCTGGGTGGGCCTTGCGAATGCTTCCCGCTACCAGACCACTCTTCACACGCACTGCTGGGCTAAACTGCTCAGTTATGCTCTTTCGAATTAACAATTTTGGTTCACCAGTTTGGCCCGCTGGTGTCCTTGGAACCTGACCCACCTGATTACCTCCAGTCTTATTGTTTGGGTTTTTATTCTAATAAACAGAAAGTTTAGTTGGAGTATATGTAACCCAGCGCAAACTGCATGTGACACTGTCCATTGTGCGCCAGAGTTCATCGGAGTATTTCGAGCAAATCAAGGAAAGGTATATTAACCCTACACAGTGAATATGGTCTAGGGTGAGAAACCTATTCACCAATACGCTTGATTACTAACCCTAGTCTGAGAAAGATTCCTGGAGTTAAGGCTCTAATCGCGGTGATTACACGCTGATTGGGGAGATTCGCGGAAATATGGACTAGTCGGTGCTAGAGGAGACTTCCGGCGGATTTCTGCATGGATTCATTTCATGCCTCATAAGTTTCCGGCCCTGTTGAACTATTTCCAACAAATTTAAATACATTTATGGTTTAGATTTTTATTTTTCCCGCACTTTGGACGCAGCTGCTCTCCTCTGGTCATTTACTCATCAACTAGGCTTTAATTTTCACCTTCCCCCTCAATTTCAGGACCCTTCACTGTGTGTCAGCTTGTTGTGGGCAGTCAGCTGAACAACGGCAATTACTGCCATTCAGTCGACTGAAAAACCGGACTGCCAGTTTGTACTGCTGAATATTTTTAGATACTGTTGAGACACGTAACAAACGTGCACTCCAACCGCTTGAAACCGTCTTTCATATTCGGTTGCGGCTGATTGGTCTTGGTGTACGTCCCATACGCTGAGCACCAAGCCATGTACGAAAACACGGTGGCAACTTTTTGCACGACAGACACGAAGCCGAACAAATCCACGTTGCACACAACAACACGAAAATTCTGGCTGCACCGGATCATTTAAAATGAATTTTTCTCAACTCCTGGTGAGTATAACTCCCATGAACCTTACAGGATGAAGGATGAGATGAACTCGCATTCGAACCACAAATATAAATGGTTTACAACCAGGATACACCCCGAAATAATATCAAAACCATAGATAACTGTCAGTAACTCGATAAATATCAAGTTACTGGTCGCTGCTCCGTCTTAGTTTCTGGCCTCTTTGATAGCAGTTTCCACTAAAGCTACACCCAATATGTATTGCCGGCTATACCAAGCACCCAAAGTGACGAGCCCGTCTGCTTGGCGTCAAACACCGCGAACTGTATTTTTTTTCACAGGCAGTGTAGGAATAGGTAATATCCTTAGTGGACGGAAACTGTTCCTGAATTATCAGTGTGAAAACCGTCATCAACAGGATTGCTTATTGCTGATAAAAAGTAACTGAAGAAATAATTTTCAACCGATTTATGGTGGCTCGAATGGGGACTCCTAATGTCATTGGCTATGGTGTGCTTTACTGGAACTAACACACCCATAAATTTTCTAAAACTCCAACAGCCCATTATAAACGGGAGATTCGGCTGGATTCAGTCGAGTCATCCGTCAAAATCGAATCCCTCGGCGACAAAGAGTAAACGATTTTGCAGCTGTTTCAGACGTTGACAACTGATTTCAGTTTTTTCTCTACAAGACTTTTTTCTAACAAGTTTGCCGGCGACGTTTATCCGTGGGGTGAAAAGAATGCTCTTGTTGTTAAATCAAAAACTTATCCTCTCTGTGGTAGAGGCTCTCGGTCCAGTTAGCGAAAATAGCCCAGAGGCTTCCTTGCCGCAGAATGTTGAGCATATTCTCTCCACAAACATGGAGGATGAGATCATTGTTAAATGTCAAGCTGGTTGTGCGATGGTGTAACGGGATTGCAAAACCAGTTTGCAAG